TAAATAAGACTCAAAAAGCATGGTGTGTACTTTTGGAGAGGTAACTTCTCAGGAATATGAAACAATCTCTAATTGCTTGGACTTTGCAAGACAGAATTAATTGGCTTTTCAGTCTGGTTTTTGAAAGCTGTGCCATTATGTCAGAGAAGCAACTACTTCCCAATTGCCAAAAAGTATCAGGTTCTGGATAGATTATTTTTAGGTATGTATCTGTATATAATGCATCTAAATGTGCTATCCTCATGCATGTCTATAAATTGTTAGATTTTTTGTGCAAAACAGACAATAAAATGACTTCTGAATTCTTAAACTGATGTTTCTACCACTCCTATGCCTGATTCAGAAGTATTGCAGTCTGCTCAGTTGCTAATGAAGTTAAATTAATTTCAAAGTCAACCCTGGATTAGCTCTGTACAAGGTTTGTTTCCAAACCATGCAACTTGGATTAGCATACATAGGGTAATACATGGGTCTGTCAACGTGTCGGGATATTTTTTCATGAACCTTGGTTACACTTTGAATGAGAGCACTGAAGTCTTTTGCACAGCAAAGGAGAATTTTCTTCCACTGTGTTTTTTTTTCTCACGCATCTGATTTATCCTGTCTAAAATGACAATGCTTTTGACCTCCTTAAGATTTGTATGTTACGTTGTAAGCACTGATAGATTACAATAGGGTTTGAAACTTCCAATCTTTTATTCTGTGAACTCTGAGCTACTGAATAACAGGTTGATAATCAGAACAGGAAAAATGGAAAAGGATATATTAACCTATTAAAAATGTGCTCAAATTACTTAGTCCTGCAAACCAGTTAAGTAAGGAAAAAGCAGTTAATTCACTTGGAGTTCTTATTTTTTTCCTAACGTGCTGCTCAGTAAGGAAGGCTAAAACCCTGGTGGGATTGGAGGCGGGGGAAGAATGTGACTGGTGGGAAGAATGTGAATGTGACCCATCCATGAGAGAAAAGCAGAGATTGTAGGAGGACGTGCAGGGGCTGCCTGAAGGATGGTCACACAAGTTTCGTGTGAAATTTTTCTTAAATCTTTTTGGGTTTTCCTGCAATGTGTATGTTTGCTGAGAAGTTGAGCATGCAGCCTGCTCTCTCACTAGGCATTGGACCCAGCAAGGCTGCTGCAGTTTGCCCTGAGCTGAGGTGAGCCAGAATGGACTCTGCAACGTGTGCAGTCTTGAGGGCGAGGTGCCAGCCTCTGCTCTACAATCTATGGAAACACAAATGGCGTTCCATGCTTAGCTTCTTTGGATTTTTTGAGCCTATTCTTACAACTTAAATAGCTAGGGCTCTGGGGAAGACATTCCTTTGGAGTGCAAAACAGAAAATGGAACCAACCTGGTCAAAATAGGATCTAGTAGTAGTAATGACTCGCAAGGTGACTGCTGCTGATTGCACGTGCAAGTTTTTTCTGGTAGACAGGGTGAGAAACAAGAAGGAGAGTTTGCCTGTGCGCGTTGTATTCTAACAGGGGAAGATTGTTATTTTCCATGTTCTGCAAAGTCATTTAAAGCAAGCCCAGACTGCTAGTGCTGGCGTGTGTGCTGCCCAGACAGAGGTTACCCAGTAGAGCTCTGTCACCGCCCTGTGTGTGCACAGACCAGTGGGTCTAGCTGCAGGTTTGGAAACTTCAAAGAGTTTTGTGCTCTGACTCTATGCTTATACAGGAAATCCTGACGGTTTTTTAAAGCAAAAAACCCTGTGTAAATAAATGCTTTCTCCATGCACACGCTTTAGGGCAAAGGAAAGAGAAAAATCTGGATTTTACGTACATTTGTGATTGTATGTTCATTCTGAGAATGGAAGACTAGACAATGCCACTATTTTATTTGACTGAGTAAACCTTGAAAGGTAAACAGTGTATGTATAGAACATTGAGCTCTCTTCATATCAGTATTTTCTGGGTAAGTGCCATTTAAGTCAATGTAAAAATCCTTAAAAAGTACAAATGCACTATTTAAGATTCTTATGCAATTGGCTTTATAGATGGGATATATTTGTGTACTTAGATAGAAAGTCATATTTAAATAATTTATTTTAGGCTAGTCATTAACTATGCAAAACCCAATTCATGTTAAAAATTCAGTTCTCTTCCTACAGAAATTCAATGTCGCTCTTGTTTTATTGCATATCAGTAAATTATGAATCAATTGTGCTCACTTTGCCAATAAAGGCTGTTTTTTAAGACAATGAGATTATACAGGGGCTTTCAGAATTATATTTAGTCAACAATTAGGTTGATGTTTGAGTCAGAAAGTGATTCAGCTCACTTTTTTAGAGCTGTGTGGGTTCTGCATGCCCAATGGGATACAAGTCTTGCATATTTATTTCAAGAAGGAGGGCAGATAGGAGACTCTGTGGCTGGAGCAGGACTGCTGGGTAAGAAGGGTAATCCAGTATACCTGGCAGTTTTCTATAATCACTTTTCAAGGTAAAGTTGTGCAGCTACTGAAAATTTAATTACATCAAAGTACCTTTTTATGCTTCTGACTGCTCTTCTTAAAAATGGAGTCCATCACATACCTATTGCCCAAGTTCACCTGTCTCGAGACCGACATATTTTACTTCATAAGACTTAATGCTTTATAAATGCATCTTGTTTGCTGTAGGCAAGATTTAAAATGTTACCCCCACTCCCAGCTTCTGCTTCTAAAGGCAAGAATTTTAAAACTAACTGTGCTCTACCTGGAAGGTTTCCTGGGCACTGGAGTTGAATTCAATAGCTACTCAAGACTTCATGTATAACTAGGAATACACTCTGAGCAGTGTGTTATCAGAAAGCTGTATGTACCGTAGAATGTTGAAACTTGATTAAGTTGTAGGGAAGGAGGAAGTGATGTACCATAAGTCATTCATACAGGATCATTTGTAGAGCATTTTTATGTCAGCTATAACAGTCTATCAGGTGCTAGCAGAATACAAATCTCCTGATCAAAAGAAGAGAACTCTTTATCAAGAGGTTTTATTTTTGCAATAGCAGTTAAGGTTAAGTATATCTATTCTAGTCCCACAGTTTTCACTTGATGGTGAGAACCTTTTATAATTTAAGCTGAAATTTTTTGCTTCGTCCTTACCAGAACGTGGTTTGTGTGGGGCTCTTTACTCTGGTCTTGCTATATAGAGGAATGTGCTTTCAATGGAACTGTTTCACTTCCAGTTTCTCAATCTCACAAATTAAAATTGGAAAGTAATCTTTAAATATGTGTTTCTTTAAATATATGTTTCCTCACTGCACTCAAGGGGGGGCTGGGGGGAATCCACTTGAATTGTTTTCTTTTTTGCCATTCTTTGCAATCTGAAGGTTCACTGTTTCAGTGTCTTGGTGCTATTTTTGCTGTCCTTCTAATAGCTTGAGTTCACCAGAGTGCACCCAAATATTAAGGTTTAAGAGACAGTCCAACCACAGTATTTGTGTAGTTCCTTATAGTACTGCTTCATGCAAAATTTCTGCAAGCTATAGTTGTTGCTGTAACTAAGGATGTGAGCTAAAATACGGGGGTACTGGAGAATGGGGCCTGACCAACACAGAAGTGGACCTTTGAGGAGCCAGATTGTAGAATGGCGAATCTTGTGCTCTGATTCAGCTGGGAGAGCCAATAGTGAAATCCAGGCAACCACATAGTGTAAGGAAGACTCACACTTATTAGGCAGAACTACAAATGAGAAGCTGTGTGCCTTCAGCTTTTGATCAGGAAGAGTGTTTTTCAGACAGTCCCAAGACTGAAGGCTGTTAAACTAAGGTACAGTAGTTATTGGATCCAGCTCTTAGTGTCATGATTATAACCCCAAACTACCTTTTGCACAGGGATGTTGAACTGCTCTTAAGCACTGTTCATTGGGTTTGTTGGTGGTGCCACTCTCATGTGTATTGATTTTCACTGCTTCTGTAAGAGAGTAGAGAATTACTGTCTCCACAGTCCTTACCTGATGACTAAAAGCACTGGCATGGATGGGAGCATGAAAAACACTACTTTTAAAATTGAGTTTAATTAGCTTATGGAAGGGATTAGAGGAGAGAGGACTAGTATCTACGTCCCTGGTATTGCAGGCTTGATGTCCCTAATTCGGCTTAATGTAATCTGGTGTCTGACTGGATAACCTTGTTACATTGATACAGTGCTGCCAACCCTTAGAGCCTCCTTTTTTTTTTTTTCCCTCTCTTCATATGGAAACTGGCAGAGAAGGTGCAAGATAAGTGAAAAGCTAGAGTAATGACAGCATGGGACTGCAAGGCTTACTATGTTATGGGAGGAAGAAGACCAATGTATGCATTGTAATGCTAAAAATATTCCCTGTGACATGGGACAGCAACACTAACCACATGGTGTCTTTGGCTTGTTCCAGTAACACGCTCTTTTGGGGATGTCAGAATGCAGGATAAGGCTCCAATGTGGTGTCAGAGACACAGAATTGAAAAGTGCATAGACGTGATCTGCATGGCTCAGTGTGTGGAGCAGCTGCAGATTTGAAAGTCACACTACTAATGATAACAAACTGAGCAGGAATTGGAGGTGCAAAAGAAAAGGTAGGGTCAGGTTCTAGTGCCCAGGAATCATATCAGCTGGGATGGGAGCAGCACACTCTCTTTGGAGGGCTCGGACACCATCCTTCTGGGCTGTTTTGAGGGAGGCACTGCTTTAACATGCATATGGACAATTAAAAGACTATCCAGAAAAAAGCCAAAACAGTTGCTGAGGGTAAAAGGTACAGATGCTGTATAAGTGGAGAAATTAAATTCATGCTGCCTGACAGACCTGCATGCTACAAATAGTGTGCAAAGCAGAGGAAGAAACTATTTGGAGTGTGTTGTATTTGTATCATGTAGGAGGAAGACACAGAATACGGGGGGGAAGTTTCCTGACAAGATCTGTCAGACAGTGAGTATGTTCTCAGAGGAATTAGCTGTCATGCCATCACTTTGGCCTTGTTTTCCTGCTTTAGATTGCTGGTGTTGGACATGCCTGGTGCTGATCAGGAGTGAGTTTATCTTCCCTTCTTGCTTTTGTTCTAGGTCCAACACGAAAAATGCCCCTGACTGCCAGTGCCATGGACTTTTTTCAACTCTTTGTCCCTGACAACGTACTAAAGAATATGGTTGTCCAGACCAACATGTATGCCAAGAAGTACCAGGAGAGGTTTGGTAGTGATGAAGCCTGGATTGACGTCACCCTGACGGAAATGAAAGCCTTCTTAGGCTACATGATATCAACCAGCATCCACCACTGTGAGTCTGTTCTCAGCATCTGGAGCAGCGGCTTCTACAGCAACAAGAGCATTGCACTTATCATGACACAGTCACGGTTTGAGAAGATCCTGAAGTATTTCCACATTGTGGCCTTCCGCTCGAGCCAGACGACACATGGCCTCTACAAAATCCAGCCTTTTCTGGACTCTCTACAGAACGGCTTTGACTCTGCTTTTAGACCTTCACAAGCCCAGGTGAGAGTTAACCCGTTGGCAGGGAACATCTAACCTACATGCTGGAGGCCAAGTCATCTCTCTATGACAAGTGCAGAGCACAGTTGCCTGAAGAAAGAGGTGGGGCTTCACAGCGTGAAGCCATGGTGCAGTGCCTCCACAACACATGAAAGAAAGTAGCACTTTCCTATGCAAGTGCTCAGCAGTGTCTTGAGGTCTCTGCAGTGCAGGTACCTAGCATATTTCAATAGGAATGATGCTGTCTGAGCTGGGACTCAATGCTCTAAACAAGCCTGGAGGCTTCTCAGTGAGGTTGATACCACTAGGTTGTTCCATCCTGAGGATGGGAGGTTACAGGCTGCTCCCGTGAGGGAGAGTGGAAAGGGCAGAGCTGGTGCAGCTGGGCTGGAGTGAAAACCTGTAGCTGCTCCTACTACAGGCTGAGGGTTAGATGCAGGAGCTGAAATTGCTAGGAATGACCAGCCCTGGCCCTAGCAGTAGGCATTTGCCATATGGTCCAGCAGCACAGCTACCTCCCCCTGACTGGGCGAGGGGAAATAAGCAGGGGGACAGGTGCTTTTGTTCACTGCGGTTGTCAGCTGCCATCAGCAGCACTGCCTGTGCCTTGTGCCAGTCCTGGTTTTTAATGATGGGTGATGCTTCTATGGAAAAATTTATTGATGTGTGGATTGGCAACCAAAGTGCCATTGAACTGGAAATACTTCTAGACTACCAGGAATAAAAGTAAACAGGACTCTAATGAATTTTCATTTCCAGATACAACTAGGGGTAGAGCAGAATGCAATTCTGTAGGGAGACCGCTCCACAGACTGAGTAGATGGTGTAAGGAACTAAACAAACTTATGTAGTTGGTGGTTGTCTGACTACAGCTGTACAGTTGAACAATTTTAATTTTTTTTTAAAAGTGCAAAGAAATAATTTCTTAATATTTATCATACACTTTTTAAGCTTTGTTCTGCTATAAATGATCTCATTTTGGAGCTGTTGCTACTGGTCACATTCAGAAGGCTGGAAAGAAAAAGGAATAAGCTTGAAATATATTACTGCTTGAAATAACTTTTCAATCAACCCTGTGTCTTCAGAATACAAGATTTCACCTAGACATTTGGAAAGGGTGTTGTGTCCATTTTCCTCTTTTTCTTCTTCTTTCCCCTCTGAAACATCACATTTTTGCCTACTACACAAAGTTAATGAAGACATAGATGAATCACATCCATTGAAGTGTGCCTAAAATAAATTGGGAATGATTACCGTTTTTTCTATTTTATAGACAATAAAAATCATACCTGTATAATTTAGGACAACACAGCTGTTTAAAAAGCTGTTACAGTGGAGATGGGAGAAGGGAGGAGAGAGGAGTGTCCCACTGAGCCATGCTAGCAAGGTGCATTTCCATCAAGACAAAACAGGCAGTGAGACACATGGTATTGTTGGGACCGAGCTCTCATTAAGATATGAAATCTAATCCTTATGGCCACTGACTTCAATGGGCAGAAGATAAAGGCTTCAGAAATGTGATCACTGTGCCTAATGTAAAGCTTATAATGGTGTGCTGTGGGACATGCTGTGAGTACAAATCCATTAAAGGATAAAATTTGATTTGCATGTATAGCCCTTCTCCCTTCCCCCTCCCTAGCAAGGTTTGAGAACTGAACTGACAAAATCATAGCATCCTATTTGCAGTGGCAGAACATCTAAATCTCCACAAGCAGAATGTATACTTGTGCTGGGCTTGGTAAGGAGATGCTGCTTTAAAAAAAAAAAGAGGTAAGAAGTGACAGCCCAGTTCTTTTGCTTCCCCCTCCACTTCTCTGTTCCCTTGTCAGTGTTTACGTCAGTGATGTCTATACAGCATATTTCAGTGGTATTGAGCGAAACAAAAAGCACTAAAATACAGCTTCAAAAATAACTGTGAGAGAGAGAAAAAATATTTGATCTGTTGTTAAAAATACTCTAGTGTAGTGCCAGTAGCCTACTGGGGGATGTTCCAGACCTCCTCCCAAAAGAACTCTTGTGCCTTACGCCCTCCTGGGTGCCATCAGGCAGGGCTGCACACTACCTATCTCAAGAGACATGGACCCATCTGCTCAAAGCAACAGGAAAGACCTCTCTCTGGAAATAGCCTTGAGTGCAGATTAGCAGACTGCAGTAAACATCAGACTCAGAATGTCAGGTCCAGTGAGAAATAATAGAAATAATTAAAATTAATAGCCCAGTTGCACAGAAACAGAAGGAAAAGACAGGGGTAAAGACCCATTCAGATGTGCTTTTGGATATACTGCCTTTGAAATTGTTTTGGGGAGAGGAGCCCAAGTTTCTGTAATCAGTGATACCTAGAATCCCAAACTCAAAATGGATTTGTTGTTTAAGGTACACCTGTATCTTAAACATAAGACTTACAGTATCAGGATGGTTTGTGCCTGAGCCACAGTCTATGCTCAGGCCTTAGGCTATGTGCCATGAAGCAGAGGAATGACTTGGGCTCCTTGCTGCTGAATGCAGCAAGGCTGTCTGGGCTTGTAGGTAGACATTGCTGACTTTCTTCCTCTGGCAGTGTGGACTCACAGAACACAGGTTAGGGAGATGCCATGTTTAACTCACCCCTATGAACAGAGCAGGCAGTCTGTGTCAGGTAGGCAGTGCAACATCTGCCTTCACAGTTAATTCTACAGGTTTTATATTTTTATTTAGGAGAGATAGAAAAGATTATTTAAGTGGAATTTCTGTCTCAAAAAATATTTGTATGGTTTTTTTCCCCATGTGTAACACCCCCCAACACC